GTACTGCCAAGCAGTAGCAAAATCTCACTTTGCTACTGCTAAGCAGTACCAAAATCCAAATTTTCCAGCCATCTTCTCCCCATTGATCCTTGGATTCCTCTCCTGGACGTTCGTCGAGCTCAACAACGGACTCGTTCACTCTCTCTTCCATGTCGCCGTCCTGATTCAAGTCACTTTCGCCGTTGGACAGCTCGGACTCGAATTCTATGAAGTTTGCATCGCCAATAAGAAACAATGAGCTATCTATTCTTACAATAAATGATTTCTAGAATATTCTCTGTCTCTACACAGATTCATTTTGGGGGGTGGGAGTTCTCAATTTCAGAATATAAAACAATATGGACAATTTGATGGGCAAAAAATGGGCGAAATTGGGAGAATTTGACATAGAAAATGAGCAAAAAAAGAATTATTTCCACAACTTCTTGACGGACATATTCTTATCGGAATCCTTTTGCATCACTTTTCCAACAGCCATCTCGAAATCCTCTTGTGTAACATGAATACGTCTTTCACGGAGTGCAAACATTCCGGCTTCCGTACAAACTGATTTCACTTCTGCTCCAGATGCACCTGGAATCTGCTCAGCAATCTTGTCCATTCGAATTCCACGCATCAGATTCATCTTCCGAGAGTGAATCTTCAGAATCTGTGCACGTGCCTTCTCGTCTGGAGCCGGAAATTCGATTTTTCGATCGATACGTCCGGGACGGAGGAGCGCGGAATCCAGAATATCGATACGATTCGTCGCCATGATTACCTGGAAAAAATTAGTGAAGTGGAGTGATTTTAGCCAGAAAAAAGAGGACCAAAACCATTGAAATAGCCCAAAAATCCTAAAAATTGGACCAGAAATTAAAACCAAAAATTGAGTTTTTTGGGTCATTTTTCAGATTTTCTGAGTGAAATCTAGAATTTTCTAGGTCTCTAATTAGAGGTCAATTAGGTTAATTAGAGGGCGACTAAAGTGTTTTTAAGTGGAGAAATAAAGATGAAACTTTGGTGAGCAGCTTGGCTGGGGCGCCTTTGGCGCGGTCTTCGGTTTTTACAGATTCTCGAAAATTTCAAATTCCATTTTTCTTCGGAATTTGGTCGATTCGAAGTTGAATTTTGTGATTTTTAGGTAATTTTCACTCAATTTTTCATGATTTTCCGACCGTTTCCATTCATTTTTAGCCCAAAATTTCAAAGTTTCAAAAAATTTTGGCGAAATTGATGATTTCTAGCTCATTTTCATGCAAAATTCGTTGTTTTTTTCGCGATTTTTTAGCCACGAAAAATTAGGTCATGACCTGGAAAAAACGGAATTCCAGGACCTTGAGAGCGAAAAATCCAAATTTTTGTACTTTTTGGCTTTAAACACCTGGCGACTGTCACATTTTTAGCTCATAAAATCCATTTTCAAACCAATTCCATCTGATTTTTCGATATTTTCATTTACCTTGATGTTCTTGGTAGCCTCAAAACCATCCAACTGATTGAGCAACTCGAGCATTGTTCTCTGTACTTCAGAATCGCCACCACTCGATCCTTCGACTCTTGACGATCCAATCGAATCGATTTCATCCATGAAAATGATTGATGGAGCATGTTCACGAGCCATGACGAACAGTTCACGAACCATTCTAGCACCTTCTCCAATGAACTTCTGAACAAGTTCCGAACCAGAAACACGGATAAAAGTGCATTCAGTGTGATGAGCAACAGCACGTGCTAAAAGAGTCTTTCCAGTTCCGGGCGGTCCATAAAGAAGCACTCCTTTAGGCTGAGCAATACCGAGTGCATCGAACAATTCGGGATGTTTGACAGGCAATTCGATGACTTCCTTGATTTCTTTAATCTGTTTATCAAGTCCTCCAACCATTTCATATGTTGAATCTGGCACTTTTTCAACCATCATCAGTGATACCAATGGATCCAC